TCTTGAAATGCTAGCCCATTTCTTCCACAGAAATATGCCCAGATCACCAGATCAGTGCAAAAAGTTAAAGCCCAACATCTTCAGATTTCTATCCAATGCTTCACCTGACTCATGTTCATTAATAACTGCATTTTGCTTAGTCATAGAAAATTCATCCCCTTTTTGGAATTCTCACTGGAGATATTAATCTGCTTTTCTGACTTTTATAAAAATTGTTTTATTATGATGAAATTCTTGATGCACTGAAAAGTCATCAGATATCTCTTCCCCTCCTCAACACAATGTTATCAGCCTCAATGAACACACATTGGCGGAGGTCTTTAAATTGGAGGCAGCTGTACTGAGTGACCCCCAAACTTCAGGAAACATCATTTACAGCAGTAGCAGTTTGCTTTTCTTAATGTAATAATAAGAGAAACTGTTTAAGTGGTTTTTTGACTCTAGTTTCCATTCTAAATTTGTCTTTAAGATGCACTTGCTGAAGGGTTGGGAGAGTCTGAGGTGAAAATCTCTAAAGTCTTCATTGAAGATGACAGCTTTAAGTCACAGATTGCATGCCTATGATCCAGGCTCCATTCCCCTATTTACAGTAATCCATTGCTTTTTGGCCTAATTTATTCTTCACTATTACACTTTAATGAATGATTTCAGAATAACTCCTAGCATCCACCTGCCTTGTTGTCATGCATTTCTACTTATGTGCCAACTTTCTTATACTTAGTGGTTTTCCTTGGGACAGGGAGGGAGTTACCGCTACTGATACAGAAGAAAAGACTGACTTATTTGTTCTATCCTAACTCCTTTCATTTGCCTGCACACACCCACCTGACCTGACTAAGTATCTTTTCTGCAGTACCTGTTTGACTTGAAGGAGCAAAAAGGAGAACTCTACGGGTTGTTTCAAATTTGTTTTTTAAATTGTTAACAGCAATGAATGCTTTCTCTTTGCATTCTCTAAAATGGCTTTGTCTATTGGGTCCCACTCAGTTTTTTAAACCAACTATTTAGACCAAACATAGTGACCACATCTATGTGCTGACCTTTCACATTCAGAGACACAGCTGGCTATTGTGTTTACTACCCCGATAGCTACATCAAGGATCCATTGGAAGCATCTTCTACTACAGAAAGAGAAGCAATAATATTTTTTCTTAGAAATCATTCATACCTTATTATTGTTTTAGAATTCTAAGATCAACTTGCTGCTGCAATTCCTTTCCTCCAAAGCTTTTCTCAAGAGAAATACAGTCAAGGTTATTGTTAAACTCATGTATGTGAGTCAAGATCTTCATTACGCAAGCATGCAAAATTGTAAATCTGAATTAGAGTTGACATGAGTTAAGACAGCCAAAGAGTAATTTTTTAGGATCCAATTATTGCCTGAGACATATCAGAAGACTTCCAATTGCTTAGCTGATCTTTACTTAAACTTCTCTGAGTACACTGAGGAAGTCCAGCTAACATTCAGTATCAATGTGACAATTACTAAAGGAAAAAAAAAATTCAAATGCTGCTACGGAAACACAATATTCATATGGTACATACTTCTCTTTTTAAGAGATCACTTCATCAGTTGAAAACAGGATCTCGGAGTAGATTTCCTTGCTTACTACTGGGGGGAGGGGGAACATGACAGTATCCTAAGTCACAGTAATAGGTTAAAAATACAATCAATAAGATTACTGAGGTCTGTTATTCGAGCTTTATTTTGGTATATAATCAAGGCATAATATCTTTCAGATCCCAATTCTGACCAGTCCTTGAACTAGTCAGTTAAAAAAAAAAAGCTAACAGAAGAACATTGACACCAATTGCTGGCGTGTCATGAAGTAAATGGGGATTGTACTCTATGGGGAAAACTGCGCAAGTTCATGATTGATGAGCATCCAAACTCAATGTGCCACAATCATGGTTCCCCCCCCGCCGCCCCCAAGCACTCCAACATAGAACTTAAAGATTTTGCCAAAAATCTTGACTTTTTACAGAATTTACTAAGCTCACTTACCATTTATATAATCACCCTCTCTTCTACTTTAGCAGGTAAAAGAGGAAGATATTTACAGTCTTGAAGAAAGAAGCAGCATCCAATTTCTTATTAGACTTGTAACACTGATATTCACATTTCAGAAAACTTAAGAATATGCTAGTTTAAATGTTGGATCATAATGCCCATTTCTATTTGCTTTTTGTCTTCTTTTAGATCAACACAAAACATTTAAATAATATAAAGATTTTTCACTTATTCTGAAGCAGCCAGGACTGCTGACATTATTTGAAATTGCATAGATTCCCTCAATGCAAAGTATATAGAGAACAGATTTTTTTTTTTAAAATAACTGGTGTCTCAATTTCTTTGCAGGAGAATTTATGTGAGAAATCTCTTCCAGATGACTGTATTTATTCCTTCAGTAAAATAACTGTCTCTTCATAACTTCCATCTTTTTTCACTACTAAGCTATTGGACTTATTTGGGTTTCCCACATCCAATATATTTCTATCTTACTTGAAACTTCTTAGAAGATCTAAATGTCAGTTTCTTTCTGCTCTAGAAGGAATTATCATTCTATACATTAGAAGTACCTGCATAAAATATTTGAGGGCATTATCTCAAATCAACAAACTAATTAAAGGTCTCCCTCTCCACCTCCCTTTCTCTTTCCCCTTCCTGTGAGCTCTCCCCCCTCCTTTCCATATGAAGGAAGAAATTATCATGGAAAGCTGTTCATGTCTTCTCTTTAACTTTCTAGTCTTCATTTTGAAGGAATCACACATAAAACATTTTTTTTGTTCTACACTTAGTCATAGGCAGTACCAAATTCATATTAAAGAGAATAAAGTGGACTTTTTTTTTTAAATAGGTCTCTAGGAACTGGCATACACAATCTGGACTGTGTGTGGTCTTCAGAAAGTATTGTTTAAGCTTCTAGTGAAAGGTTGAAAAAGCTCCCTCTGAAAACAGGTAGTTCTGGATATAAATTAAGTACATTTCAAATGCTTAGCTCTAGTGCCCTAAAAGAAGACAAAACACTGTGCACTCTGTCGAGATTAGACAGAAAATACATTTGAAGAGAAGCATTTCAAAATATTTCATTCTAAAATTCACACTGTATACAGAAACAGCCTAGATTATATGCTGGCATGGTAAATTAATGCATACAATATTTTAATTCTATTTGACTTCAAATTTTTTAAACAAAATTAATTACTATCTAGCATAATAATGATTTTTCCATTCATTTAGTCTTAACAATATGATGTCCTTGCATGCCACTAAATTTACATTATCAAAACAGAGCCATTAAGTTTACAGAATCATAGAATGGTTGAGGTTGGAAGAGACCTCTGGAGATCATCTATAGTCCAACCCCCCTGCTCAAAACAGGGTCAGCTAGAGCAGGACAACCTCTCTGGGCAACCCGTTCCAATGTTCGACCACCCTCACAGCAAAAAAGTGTTTCATGTTCAAGTGGAACTTCCTGTGTTTCCATTTGTGCCCGTTGCCTCTCGTCCTATCGCTGGGCACCACTGAGAAGAGTCTGGCCCCATCCTCTTGACACCCTCCCTTCAGATACTTATACACACTGATAAGATTCCCTCTCAGTCTTCTCTTCTCCAGGCTGAACAGGCCCAGTTCCCTCAGCCTTTCCTCATAGGAGAGATGCTCCAGTTCCCTAATCATCTTAGTAGCCCTTTGCTGGACTCGCTCCAGGAGCTCCATGTCTCTCTTGTACTTGGGGAGCCCAGAATGGGACACAGCACTCCAGGTGTGGCCTCACCAGGGCTGAGTAGAGGGGGAAGGATTACCTCCCTCGACCTGCTGGCAATACTCTGCCTAATGCAGCCCAGGATGCTGTTGGCCTTCTTTGCTGCAAGAGCATATTGCTGGATCATATCCTCAGGACCCCCAGGTACTTCTCTGCCAAGCTGCTTTTGCAGCTGGTCAACCCCCAGCCTGTACTGGCACATGGGGTTATTCCTCCCCAGGTACAGGACTTTGCACTTCCCTTTGTGGAACTTCATGAGGCTCCTCTGCCCATTTTCTCCAGCCTATCGAGGTCCCTCTGAATGGCAGCACACCCATTCTATTCTTCCTGGGTCACCTGTCCCTGCTTCTACCTCTTGTACGCTTCCTTTTTCTTTTTGAGTTTTGCCAGGAGCTCCTTGTTCATTCATGCAGGTCTCCTGCCCACTTTGCTTGACTTTTTACTCATTAGGATGGACCATTCTTGAGCTTGAAGGAGGTGATCCTTGAATATCAAGCAGCTCTCTTGGATCCCTCTTCCTTCTAGGGCCCTATCCCACGGGATTCTTCCAAGCAGGACCCTGAAGAGGCCAAAATCCGCTCTCCTGAAGTCCAGGGTTGTGATCCTGCTCTTTGTTCTGCTCCCTCCTCACAGAAGTTTTATTGTATGACCCGTGTCCCCCCCTTTCCCCTGCCAATACAACTCAGACATGACCTGGAGACACTGACTCCAGTTTCAGAGTCTTTTTTCATGTCTGTTCAGTATTTTAACTCTCCACTAACACTAATAAAAATGATAGCAACAGTGAGAGCAATAATACAGACAATTTTAACAGCTTTATCATTTCTCTCTACTGCAATTCTAACATATAGTATAGTGTACTGTGGTTTCAAATACTGCCCTGAGCTAATACCTTATCTTGCACTGGCTTCAACTGTTTAAAATGAAGTTTAAGTGTTGTGAACACATAAACCTTGTTTTAACCCAATTTATTTTCCAATAAGATTACCACTAGATAAATACCTTGTCCAAGTACTTTTTTTTAGGTTTATATTAACTGCACTTAAGATAACTATCTGAAAGTTGGGGAAAAAGTAGCACCCATATTCCAGATTAAAAACACTGGCTAAACACAGCAAAAGTTGAGTCCTTATTGAATATTGGCCAATTTTGAGTTAAGAAAATACACTCAAATTCAGACAAATTTACAAGTGATAAACCTGCGCACCAAAAATCATGGAACAAATTTGTTCTTACATCTTTTGAAGCACCTGAGCCATCACAACCCCATTCGTTAAATCTTCCACAGTCTGGCATGGTGTTTCAACATTAAACGTCTGGATCTGAAGAGGAAGGGAGGAGGAAAAAAAAGTTACTAAAAGTTATTTTCTTTTACTTTTGAAAACCTCTTGATGTTCATTTTACTTGCTGTTGTTAGGAAACATTTCCTGTATGAGTAGAAAAGTAGAAAGTTTTAGATTGAATTGGCAATCAGTAAAACAAACTGCAGACATTACTTAATAGCTTTATTTTTGCAACCAAAAATACTGCAAACTCTACTATGATCAACTATAGTATATTCCCAACAAATGGATTTCCGAAAGCATTTTCTAACACACACAGGAACAAAAGTTGGAAGTGAATGGGACTTGTGTTCTCCCATTTAAGCACTTCTGAAAAACCCTTTTTCTCAGTGTAATATACATAAGAGAACTGATGAAAACACACACACACACACACACACAAAACCTACACCCAAACACTCATCACTCAGAGCTCCTACATGTTCTAGAGACACATATGTACTGCAAAACTAACTCCTCTGTACTATGAAATGGAAGAAAGCGTAGTTCTTTTAGTCCTAGAAGGTCTATATGCCGCTAGTTTTCCAATTGCTCTGGAGTGCTCAATTATTACAGTGACAGACATTTAAGGGCTGTATACAGAAGAGTTCCTAGTCTGTAGATGGAGATTAAGATACAAGATGCAAGCACTGGTAATTCAGAACTGTGGAAGGGGAATGACAAGGACCATATACATGCAATGACCGATTTGATTTTAATCCATGATAAAATTTCTTATGACTTAAGGTGATTTAGTGTCACAGGGGAAAAGGAACACCAAGAGCACCAAGTGAGAGAGAAGCTGCGTCAAGGAAAGCTTCTCACTCTCAATTCCCTCCCTTCCACCCATCACCACTCCAATAAGTCAGCACAGCCAAGCCTAGGGGAAGCACAACACTCACTCCCACAGGTCTCAGTGTCAGGCTCTCGGGCAGTGGCTCAACACCAACTCATAACAGTTCCACCTCGGGTGCTCTGCTTCTACACAGTGTCCAAGGTTACAACATCCCCACCCCTGATCTCTATTACTGGGGGATTTTATAGCAAAATGTAGGCACAGGCTGCCAATCAGATTAGTCCACAATGATATCATGCTACACGTTTCCAGCAGTTGCAGGTATTGTTCTCCTGTCACTTGTTGATCCACCAAGGCTCATCACATTCAGTTCTCGTTTGCGTTGTCCTGTTGGCCACAGCTCACCACACTCAGTCCACTTGCATTGTACTCAGCTCTTGGTGAGGCCACAGTACTCCCGTGTCAATTGGGTTACAACAAAATTCCTCTCTATAGACTATACACTAAGTACACATACAGAGACAAATCTAAAGTTAACTTTTGGAGTATGCTGTATAGCTTAAAAAAAGTCTCTCACGCAAACACACAATCAAGAATTACCTCTTTCCAAAAATAAATTAATCAGTACACAATTTATCTATGGCTGCTAATTTAATCAAGTATTCATCTACTCCATTTTCATGCATACTCTAAAATTTACTTGGGGGGAGGGGTAGCCACCCACACAAACACAGACACACACACCAGTAAATCACCAGCAATGTATAACTATAAAGCAGAGCTCTTTTCTCCTTTCTTTCCCCTGGTGTGGAAAAGAGCCAAGTCATTTCCTGTGGTTCAATTTATCATAGTACTTACTTTAAAGGACCAATACTTTTAAGGGGATGCAGGTAAGCTTTGTGAAAATATCATCTATGACACCACTCTGAGGACATCTGGCCAATCCTTTCACTGCTGTTATTCTGCTTGGAGGTAAGCATGTGCTCCCCTGTATGAAACACAATTTGTACATAGCAGGGGCTAATATTCTTAGAAGAGCTTGCAGCTTCAGGCTACATTTACATCAGATACATCAACTGTTCTTTCTGAACTCAATGTACAACCATTTGTGCTTTAACAGTACTTGAAAGATTGATGCAGGCAGATCCAAGCTATTCCCTATAAAATGCCCTCTAATTATGTATTCTTCAGTATCAGGCAATCCACAGAAAGTAAAAAGTTTCACAGATCCCTGTGAAGAAGGCTCTCAAAAATTACAAGCATGGTATTCAAACTCTCATAATGCCTTAGTAATTTCACATAAGCACTAGCAACAGCATCATTTAAAATTAATTTTAGAGAACAAAGACCTAAATGATTGTTCCATTCCTTTTTCTTATTCAGCAAGAAAGGTTTTAGCACTTCATTAGGAAAAATCAGGAACAGTATTCATGAAGAGCTAAAAAGATGAGCTCAGAAAGCACATTCATTGAGCCAACTTAAATAACCACCACAACAATAAGAGGTGAATGATGCATATGCTCCAACAACATAAACAATAAAATTACTACATGGCATCTAGATCACAGGCTAAAGCTGTTGGAGACTCAAGAGAGTGGCTTCCCGCAGCTTGGCCTGAACTACCCAGACAGCAGAAATACCCCCAACAACAGTGTGGGCGGGGGGGGGAGAAAAGAAAACAACCCACACATGACAGCATATACAGTCAAGATCTTTGTCTTGCACAACCCACACATGACAGCATATACAGTCAAGATCTTTGTCTTGCCAGAAATCTTAATAGTTTAACTAGTTTCTCTGTACAGCAGCATGGAATCCATGAGCCCTTTCTGTGTCCGAATCCACAAAACCTAGTAATAAACTAAACAGGAAAAAAAAAGTCTCCCTAGCAAAGGAGGCTACAGTGTATCTCCATGACAGAACATGGATGCTCATGCATGAAAAAGTTCAGGATGGCATGAAAACCTGTTTCCAATTTTGCATATTTTGCCTTTAAGTTATCAAAGCTGCAACCACCCAATCTGATACATGGATAGCCAAAGCAAAAATTCACTTGAGAACCACTGCCCCAATTTTTCAGAAATAGGTAAATGCAAAACCTTATTTTCAGCCAAGCAGTACTGACACCCAAGGAGGCCTTCATCCATCCTGCAAACCACATCTTGTCTATTCATTACCTTATTTTGGTGAATGAAATCCCTCCTTGACTAAATATAGGTAGGAGAAACCACTACACTGAGCAGTGGAAGGAAGGCTGCAAAGCATACTTCTGAGATACTAAATAAATAAATAAATGCACACTCACTAATTTTGCCCTCGTAACTCCCCAATGCTTTACACAAGAGGAAAAAGGCAAAATGGTCAGTAAGGATCAGTACAACTCAGGTAAGCAACCTGACCTCTACTTTTTCCACAATGAGACATGCCCACACAAGATCACAACTGAGGACTTCAATGCTATCTATCTGCAGATGGCACAGAACAGAAAGGAGGAGAGAAAAGACTGATTATATGAGCTGTTTCTTTGTATGAGTTTTAACTTTTTCATAAATTCCCTTGTTTGCACAACAAGCAATGAATACACAGCATAACATATCCACTAAGGTAGCAAATTTATGCTACATAAACTTTAATATATAAAAAATACAATATCTTTGCTACAAGAGATTAATGAAGACCTCTATAGATATGCAATGAAAGCAACAACTTCGTCTTCCAGAAAGAGTCTAGTTAAAACCAAATCCCATGAGTTCTTATCCTGCTGGAACTGTTCCCACTTTTGACTGTGTTCAATACTGTCCTCACCTTTTGTTTGTCAAAGCTGTACATTCATTCCAATCCCCTGTTAACAACTTTGACAATGTGATGAACACTTCTCCAACTTTTCCATTTCCTGTGCCACCATATCGAGCTCTGACAACATATGCTAATAGACAACAGAGTCTGAAAAAACACCCAATAAAATGAGTTAACCACTATCCTTGACAGGCCTTCACACATTCCTACTATCATGTAAGGAAGCAAAAAACAGTTATTTCGCTTGATTTTTTTTTAATTCATTGCGCATGAGACTACTTATAGTATAGGTGAGGAATTATATGGTAGATAACACCAGTGGGCTAAAAAATTACTATAAAAGTCAGGACCTTGGAAAATCCGAGTTAGATTTCCAGATGATACACATGGCTAGTGAGGCTTTCTTAGCTACTAAAGAAAGGAGGAAGGTGTGCATTTCATGAAAAATACTCCTAGTATTAAGGTTGGAGAATGGACTAAACACAGTCCTCCAAAACAATAGCTGAGGGCCAGGATAAAATAAGGGCTACAATTCACAAAGCTCTCCAACACTTTAACCTCCACAACACTAAGTGCTCATGAAATACCTTTTCTTTGCACAGTGATTATATTCAAAACTCTGCTTTTTACTGCTGTTACAATTATTATAAATAAATATTAAAAAGGTCTGTTATATAATACCTGAAGTATATATATGAGCATCTTAGGTGGCAAACAATGTGCAACTGGTTGCCTTATAGACCACACAACACAAAGTAAATATTTCACCAGTGCCCAGTTAATAGTTTATTAGAGCAGAGTCCTGTCCCCCCAGCATTTTATATAGTATTTATTTCCCCATTATTTGCTCATAGTTTTGGAATTGACTACATAAAATGACAACCAACTGCCATGAAGATCCTAGTCAAACCTGCCCCCTCATGAAAAACAACCAACAAAAACAACCAACAAAGCAGATTATATAGCTAAAATTGGGGGAAGTGGCTAAAAAGAATAAGGATAAAAAAAGGAACCTGTTTCAGTTGCCTGGAAGAAGATCATTACTCATGCCATAAGCAAGAACGGGTGAAGGAGCAGACTGGCAGAGAAGAGCAAGAAGAGGGGTGTATATTTGTCTCCTCACACAAGACTTTTAGTCCATTCACAAATATCATCAAGAGGATCCTTAAGAACCCGATTAAAACACATTTCACTCAGCCTCAGTGCCTAGAAGAAATCAGATCATTAATATTTTTTTCCAGAATGGTAAATTGATTACCTGATGCAAAAAGTTGCTCATCTTCAAATTCCAGCTTCTAATATTGAGTCAGATTTATCATAATGAGATTTGGATTCCTATCCTATAAACATATTCTGTGCTCCAGGGCAACTTATTGATCCATTTTTCCCCCCACTTGGCAGCAGTGTT